ACTTAGTGGGTGTCCATTCAGGCCTTGTACTGTTCTCCATACTTTCGATATTTCCTTCCATATGTTACATACCCCCAAACTTTTATGTTCGCACAACTGATATTGTAGAAGTTTTGCTAACTCTGTGCGTATGAAGTTACACCACTCTTTTTGACTGTTGCATAATATTCCAGAATAGAGTTCCTCATGGATGGATGTTGAGTTCTGTCGCAGTTTGCCTGTTCTATCAGTGATGTTGTAGTGGATATACATGCCCATGTCCTTTGTAAATCATGCGCTGTTCCCCTGTCTAGTAGTATTTACCGAGAAGTGGAATTACGGGGTCCTACGGATTATATTCTTATATCAATGGCTGTTGCCAAACTCCCTCCCTGTGGGTGTTCTGACTATACAGGGTGCAGGTGTTCTTTATGCCACATTCTCGTCAACACTCAACATTTTTTTGAGTGAAAAATGATAGATCCTTGTTTTAATTTGTGTGATCATCAGTGAGGTTAGGAATGGTTTCCTTGCCATTTGTCCGTCTACTGTGAGTTGCTTATTTTTATCTTTTCCCATTAGTCTGTTGGGCTCTCTCTCTCTTAGGGAATTAGGAGCTTAAAAAAAATCATGTACTAATTCTTCATCTGTTTTATGTCACCAGGATCTTCTTGGGTGTCTTGTTTATCTTTTCAGTTTGTTTATGATGTTATTAATTTTGATGGGAGAAAATGATCAGTCCTTGCCTTTATGGCTTGTGTTCTCTAGAACAGCCCTGCTGACTCATGCTGCCTTAGGTACATTCATACTAGGTTTCATTTTATCATTTTCATTGTTTAAGGTTTGGAATTGAGATATCATTGGGAAATTCTGGTAAAATTATGTAAATGGCAGGTGATGCTTCCGGATGGAGTGGGAGTCAAAATGTACACTCAAGCTGTAGACTGGGGGCTTCTCAGAGGAGGGAAGATGGTTGAAACCAGTGGCATACATAGTACTGTCCAGAGAAATCAGGTAAAGTCAAAGAGAAGTGGGGCAGAGAAGTTATCAAGGAGGTAACTTGACAGAGCAGCAACCACATTTTATTTACACCAATACTCCTAGAAGTCAGTGTGGGGCCTGCCCACAGCGGCATGCGTCACTCCAACACATATTCACTTATAAATCTATAAAGGCTTGCAGAGTGAATACATTTTAAAATCTTCCCCTTTCCTTGAATCAATTTGTCCACATAAATCATACAAATGAGTGAGCCTTGTAAGAGAAGGGGCAATGACCTTCTTGCTTACCGTGTATTACCAAAGCTGGAGCTCTGGCTCAGCTCTCCTTCATTTGGGCTTGACCTTTAAACGAACCCCCGTGGCATCCATGAAGTCACAGCTGGAGGAGAAGTGTGGTAGCTGACCTGCACAACGGTGCTGATTTGAGATGGATTTGGAGAGTATCCGCAAATGCCAACTTTCCCTTAATGTGTCCTGAAACTACCCTGGAGGGTTCGTATTGGTCATTGTTCTGCTAACATTAGTTATTTTGTGGACCTGTGAAGCACCTTTCCCTGAATTGTCAATCCACAGATTGTCTGTAAAATCTACAGAATTATTCATAAGACAGTGTCTACCTTAGCCTTTGGCAAAATTACTCACTCAGGGTATAATTAAGTCATAGGCACACTGGCCCGAATGTGGATAAAGCTGGAAAGGAAATAATTCCTGTTCCAATTTGGGTGCTTTCTGATGTTTGACAAGCCTCTGGTATGTTAATCCATGAACTGAAGAAAAGTCAGAATCCCTTGTAAAGAAGAATTTCTTTCTTTCTCTTTTCTTTTCTTTTTCCTTTCTTTAGGAGAATTGGAGAATAACTAATGGGAGGGAAAGAATAGGCAGAACTCGAAAAGTTTAAGGTTGTCAGCAGGATGACAACACTGAAATCTGATAGGTAAAAATGAAGTAACAAAGTGGAAAAGCTGCAAACATAGGGGTTAGGAGATGTGGTTCTAGACTGTGTGGGCACAGGGTGCACTGAGAGGGGCCAGGGCAGGCTGGACTGCCAACTGGTCTACCTCCCCCACCATGTACAGCAGCCCCCGTCTGCCCGTGCTATTTGTCCTCCAGAGACTGAGCATGGCCACGGCTCGGTGAGAAGACATGCAAGCTGAGAAAATACACACACTCAGATGTTGCAGACAAATCAAAATTTATTGAGACAGACAGAAATGCACCTACTCAGGACTACAGTTAAGCATTTACTATTAACCAAAGAGTCGTGTTCACATTCCAGAGAAGTCTACGTGGAAAAGCATTCAGAATTTACTAGATTTTTTCTACATCACTATTTCATCTACAATAGGGACAACAAAATGACACTCAGGATTTGGTGGGCTCTCATTACAATGCTACACATTGAAGAGGGACAAACATCAGTGACTTTGAGAAAAAGGTATAAAAAGACCAAAACCACCCACTGTAGAAAGGGCTCTTAGATGTTAGATGTTACTGTACAATGTGGTCAAGGTGGGAAAAAAAAAAGTGTGAATGGCATTCTGGGAAAAGTAGAGGGGGCAGACCTGGACAGACACTTAGTCATTCACTGCTGGGCATGGGGAAAGGGATATAAAGAGGAAAAACTGGTAACAAAATCTCAGGTTGAGTAGTAAGGTATTCCCATGCCTAGAATATCTGTGGAATCGAAAAGACATCAATATGGCAGACAATTAACCATGGTGGAAGAAAATTCTGGGATTTAGGGTCGATGCTGAGACAACAGTATTAAATAAAAGAACCATGTGTGGAATAAGAATAAAGCTATTTAGTAGAGTGCGCGCAGAAATGAGTGAGTGAGGATTCAGTTCAATACCTGTCTCAAAAAAAGGGACTGGATTATCACGGTATTATTTTTGTTTAATCAAGATTTTTATGTATACTTAGTCACTAGCAAAAGGACTCCTGCCCAAAAAGAGGAAATCACAAATTCTACCTCTAAGGATAAGGTAACTAGAAAATCGAATGTTTAGTACTTGTGAAAAGCAGCAAAGCCCTTTACAAATCTGTCACGCCAAAGTGAGGCATGCAAAGTGGTGTTAATGTTGCTCCATTGATTTGGGGTCCCAGCTTAGGAGGGCTTTTTATTTACTATTTTAATGAATCAAAACATCTTCTTGGAATATCTTTGAAAACAAGCATCTCGTTACCTTACTGGGAACTGACTGCTGAGCCCACTCTTCTCCATCGTTAAGTTAATGCTAAGAATCTTTAAGTGTCATCTTAATTTGACACTTGTCATAAGATAATTAGGCAAATTAGAATCAGTGGTTCTCTGCTCCTGGAAGTTTTTCTAAGTGAAAGCAATTTGTCGCTTTTAATTTGTTCTCTTGTGCGTTTTTCCAAGCTCAGAGGAGACAGTAACGATGGTTTTCTTTAATGGTCTAAACTGAATTTTTTTTATATGTCTTGATTCTTATATACACTCTATTAGAATCTAGCTGCAATTAAGCACCTGTTTTCTGAATTACCACCTCAGTGTTTTGTTCGAGTGAGGGAAAACAATTGAAAGAGAGGTGATGGAGCTGCCATACCAATACAGAACTCGCCTCTGTTCTCTCTCTGTGGAAGGTCCTGGTGGTACCCGTGTCTCCCAGGCCAAAGAAGTTGGTTGTATCACGTATGTTCATTTCCCTTCTGAGACTAAGTCTAGGAATGATGCCACTGTGGCCAATGCTAGGGTTGGAAAATGCTGGTTTGAAGGCAGCTTGGTAAAGTACAAAGAAATGGTCCATTTGAGGTGGGGGGGGGGGGGGGGGGGGGGTCAGCTACCGCCATGACCATGGTTCGGCTGAGTGTATTTTTTGCCTGAGTTTACGTGGTTGTCTTGTGGATGGGTTGGAGCTCAGGAGGAAAGGAAGATAAACCAATGTGGGCCACAGAGCCTTGGCGGGGAGGTGTTGATGAGGATCACCAGGTACTTGGAAACCAGGTGGGGCAGGGGCTTAAGGGTCTGAGGTTCTGAACTAAATGGGGCTACTTTGAAGACTAGTCTTTGGTACTTAGATCTGAGCCAGCTTGATGGGGGCAGAAATCCTTGAAACGATAGAGAGGTTGACCCTACCAAATTTGGAGACAGGCTGTAATCATGAGCTGACTTAGGGAAAAGAAACGCTGGTGGACAGCTTGCTTCATCAGCCTCTTGACACTGGTGCAGGTGTGGGGATGGGGGAAGGAGTAGCTCTTAAAGATCCAACCCTAGCTTCCAGGTGCTATGATGAAGTTCTTTGTGGCCTCCCTTTGGGATTTTTTTCTTTTTAATAATGATGAGTGGTATAAAATCGGTACAGCTTGTGTACCCTTGCTATGATTTGTGGATAGAAATGGGGCAAAAGCAAAAGATGAGGTTAAGAATCCTGAATTTTCTTCTGCTAAGGAACACTGTGGTACTGTCTTCTCGGGGAGCAGGGGACATGTATCCGTGCCTTGGGAAAAGCCCTTGCGTCGGTAGGGAAGGTAGGAACCCGTGGCAGACAGGATTGCTGCAGCCCCGGGGAGGAGGGGAAGGGAAGCTTTGAGCCAAAATGAAAAAGATGGCTTGTGAAGTTGCCCATGTGGGAGTCTCATGGCTTCTGCAAGGAAAGTGATTTAGGCAGACAGAGGCTTATCCAAATCAAAGGGCTTCCAGTAACTCTCCTAATGCATAGGGAAAGGAACCTCCTCAGCCTGCAGGCTACAAGTGCTAACTCTTAGTGCAAAAAAAGAACTTCTGATCTACATTTCTTATTCCAGAAATTGTGATCCAGGTCTGGACAAGCTGACAAATTTATAATTGTGTTTCAAATGAGTTTCGAAAAGATACTGAAGCGCTTTTTCTGAGTGATGTGTGTGTGTGTGTCTTGTACACATAGACAGTCTACTCTGTACATACAAATATCCTTAGGCATGTACAGAGAAGCATCCAGACACCCTTGTTCATAAGGAAAATCGATTCCCCGAAGGAACTCTTGACTGAATTAAGGCTGTTGTTTGTAGGAAGCCAGATAGAGTGATATGAAAAACGAATTTTTAATTATTACCACGAGGGGTGGTGGGGATAGGGCAGAAGAAAGTACAGTGTGGTGTGTTTTCCACGACATCTACAGGACACAAGAAAAGCACTTAGACATCGTAAGGCTGGGAACCATGCTGGAATGACCACTGGTGTGGGTAATCGAAAAGCATCTTGGACGTTTACAAGGTGGGGGCTCCCTGCACAGTCAGAATCCCACAAACTTCACATGCGCGTTGTACAACTCTCATGGGAGGGAAGGAGGCTCCAGCTCAGCCAGCCGCTCCCCTGTCTAAATAAAAACAGAACACAACACCCTTCTTCCCACACAACTGTATGCAAGACCAGAATGTTCGGGGGACAAGGAGCGGTCTTCCAAACCTCAGGTCGGGTACAGAGAGCAACAATGGAGAAGAGGCCTTGGTGCTGTGGGGTCTTAGATACAAATGCCAGAGTAGGAAGTGACTTGCCGGTCGGTGCAAACCTTGTGTCCTCTTCCTCGTGGGGACTACCAGATGTAGCCCACCTCGTCCTCTTTGTCGTCGTCCTCATCCTCGTCATCCTCTGTCACTGCCCGGGTGTGCACCCTCAGCTTCCCGGATCTGTCCTTTGGTCCCAGCTCCCGCTCGTCCTCCAGGTCATCCAGCAGGACCACAGCGCCGCCACTGCCAAAATCCCCTGAGGTCTCCTGCTCCTCTTCTGAAATGAGAAGACGAAAGGAGAGATGGGAGGTTAGTTGCTGTGGGTCCTTTTCATGCAACGTAAGCGTAGGGAGAAACCACGCAGTTTACTCTCTGAATATTGGATCATCTCTGTGTGGATGGGGTTAGTTGACATGGCATGGGCCACAAGCTTTGTGAGCCCCAGAGGTCTGGAGATGCTTCTGCCTTCTTGGGGAGAACCCTGGGGATTTAGTGAAGTTGTGCGCTGTCAAAAAATGTGATCCAGTTCCCTGGTCATGGTGAGTCCCTACCCCTCAGAAAGCTAGCTATGCCTAATCTCATGTGATTTCAGGGTTCTTGTGTCTGCACTGTAAACTTGTTCACTGTAGGGGTGCCTGGGTGGCTCAGTCATTAAGCCTCTGCCTTCAGCTCAGGTCATGATCCTGGGGTCCTGGGATCAAATCCCGCATCAGGCTCCCTGCTCAGCAAGGAGCCTGCTTCTCCCTTTCCCACTCCCACTGCATCTCTCTCTTTCAAATAAATAAATAAAATCTTAAAACAAGACACAATTGTTCACTCTAGACCACAGCTAGTTCTCGAGATTTCTCTGCCCAGATCTTCATACAGTCAAGACCTGCCAGTCAACAGAGGTCACTGTGGGGCTGACGCAGAAGGCCCTACTCACCACAGCTCACGGCGCCCTGTTTCCTGGAGCCGGCCAGCTCGTTGCCATATTTATCCACACACCAGCACTGGCCCGTGCTGCCGTGGCACTGTGTGGCTTTGTAATAGCCCTCCTCGTTACACCGAGGGATGAACACTCCTGAGGGAAGACAAAGTCCAAACTGAATACACGTGCTCAGAAACTCAGGGTTAATGGCCCCCAAGAGAGAAAAGAGGGCTTAACACATCAGATGGGATATCCAGCAGAGCTAGCAGTGGGAATGGAGCAGCTGATTATTGCTTTGTCAAGATTTACAGGGTCCTGGATGGGCTCAAGGTGAGACAGGATCCCTTCATGGTTGAGTTTTTATTTTTCCCTTTAAAATGCTGGCAATTTCTTAAGAGTTTCCCAGTCTTATGGAGATGGGATTGAGATGGAGCACTGTGGAATGTCCAGTGTACAGCAAAACTTGACTTATGTACTCCGTGAGGTGATTACTGCAGTCAAGTTAATTAACATCCATCTTTCCTATATGATGAGAACTCTTAGGATTTGCTACTGACGACTTTAATATGTACCACAGCAGTGGTGACTATAGTCCTCACGCCGTACATTAAATTCCTAGTCCTAACTTGTAACTGGAAGTGTGTACCTTTTGACCACCTTCCTCCAATTCTCCCTACCTACGGTAACCACCAGTCTGACGTCCTTTCCTAGGAGTTGTTTTAGGTTCCACATACAGGTGAGATCGTACGCTATTCGTCTGACTTACTTCACTTAGCATCTTGTCCTCCAGCTCATTCCATGTTGTCACAATTGGCAAGACTTCCTTCTTTTTATGGTGTATAATATTCTATTGTGTACACGTATGCACACTAGTTATTCAGTGATCCGTCGGTAGACCCCTAAGTTGTTGCCATTTCTTGGCTATTGTAAATAATGCTGCCATGAACACGGGAGTGCAGATATCTCTTTGATATGATGTTATTTCCTTGGGATATATTCTGAGAAGTGGAATTGATCGGTTACAGGGTAGTTCTATTTTAAATGTTTTGATGACCCTCCATACTCCTTTCCATAGTGGCTGTAGCAGTTTGCATTCGCATCAACAGCACACTAGGCTTCCCTTTTCTCTGTGACCTCACCAATATTTGTTGTCTGTTGTTGCTTTGATGATAGCCACTGTGACAGGTGTGAGGTAGTTATCTCATTGTGGTTTTGGTTTGCATTTCCCTAGTGATTAATGACGTAGAGCATCTTTTATTGTACCTGTTGGCCATCTGCATGTTGTCCATTCTGGGGTGCTTGGGTGGCTCAGTTGGTTAAGTGTCTGATTCTTGGTTTCCGCTCAGGTCATGATCTCATGGGTGGTGAAATCAAGTCCAAATCAGGCTCTGTGCTAAGTAGAGAGTCTGCTTAAAGGTTCTCTCCCTCTGCCCCTCCTCCTACTCTCTTTCTCTCAAGTAAATAAATGAACCTTTAAAAAAATAATGTCTATTCAGATATTCTCCCCATCTTTAAATCAGATTTTTCTTTGCTATTGAATTGTGTGAGTTCTTTAAGCCCTTGTCAGATACATGGTTTGCAAATATCCTTTTCTCATTCTGTAGGTTTTAATTTTAGTGATAATTCTGCTGTGCAGAAGCTTCTGTAATTTTTTATTGTTTGTGCTTTTGGTGACCCATCCAAAAAATCATTGCCGAGGCTCATGTCCAAGAGCTTTTCCCCTATGTTTACTTTTCAGAGTTTTATGGTTTCCATTCTTACATTTAATTGAGTCTTTAATCCATTTGGAGTTTATCTGCTACCATTCATAAAAATTGAGATCTAGTTTCAATCTTTTATATACATTCAATTTTCCTAGCACCATTTATATAAGAGATTGTCTTTTCTCCAGTGAGTATTCTTGGATCCCTTACTAAGTCTAAGTTGATCTTATATATGTGAATTTATTTGGGGGCTCTTGATTCTGTTTCCTTGATCTTTCTGTTTTGATGCCACCGTGGCATTTTGGTAACTATATCTTGATAATTTGCTTGAAATCAGGAAATGTGATGTCTCCTACTTTGTTCTCCTTTCTCAGGACTGCTTTCGCTATTTGAGGTCTTTTGTGGTTCTGTATGGATTTTAGGATTGTTATTTCTACTTCTGCAAAAAATTCCATTGGACTTTTGGTAGGTATAGCAATGAATTTGTAGACAGCTTTGGGTAATATGGATATTTTAACAGTATTAACTCTTCTAATCCATAAACATGGGATTCCTTTTAGTTTGTGTTTTCTTTGATTTATTTCATCAGTGTCAGATAGTTTTCAGTGTATAGATCTTTCACTTCGGTGGTTAAAACACAGCAGCTACAAACAAAGAAAATCTTACTTCTTCCTTTCCAACTTGGATGCCATTTGTTTCTTCTTTTTGCCTGACTGTACTGGCTAGGACTTGCAGTACTATGCTGAATAAGAGTGTTAAGAGTGGGTAGTTTTGTCTTAGTCTTGATCTTAGAGGAAAAGCTTTCAGCCCTTCACCATTGGGTATGATGTTGGTTGTTGTATGTGGTGTTTACTATGTTGAGATTTGTTCTTTTTATATCTAATTTGTGTTCAAAGTCAAAAATCGATGTTGAATTTTATCAAATGTATTTTCTGTGTCTGTTAAGATACCAGATTCTATTACTATGATGTATTTTGAACCATCCTTGCATCTCAGGGTTAAATCCCATTTGATCATGGAAATGATCATTTTAATGTACTTCTGAGTTTGGTTTATACCTGGAAACATCTTGGAAAAAAGCAAGTATGTGAGCCCCACCCCAGGTCTGCTGAATCAGATACTTTGAGAAAAGGGCCTAGAAATAATATTATAATAATGTGTGTGTGTGTGTATATGTATATATATACATATACACACATACATATATATACATACATATATACATATAAATAAATTACAATAAATATATATTTGTATATATAAAAATATAATAAGCCCTCCAATTGTTCTAATACATGCTGAAATTTGAAAGCCACAAGTTTATAACAGCATCTTATATCTGAAGTTACATTCCCACTTATAAATTCATAACAGTATTTGAGCCTTTCCAATTGCCAAAGAGTTGTCTATTTCATGGTTTTCTTCTACATTAGTCTTGATTGTTTCACTTCATAATATTCCTATAAAGCTTTTCTAATTAGAACTTTTACTATTTTTTTTAATGCATTTGAAGGTAAGTTTCACTTTAGTTGCTTCCCTCTGAGTTTGGTACACAAAAATTTCATTTTCTTTTACTTCTAACTGTTTTATTGTACTTTTTTTTATTATTATATTTTCCCCCTACCCCTCCATGTGTGGGGTTTGGGGGATTGTTTAGTTTTCTTTGGTGGCGTAATCCAAAGCAAATACTCCATTGTGTTTGAAAAGACAGTACATTTCAATACATTATGTACAGGAATACATATATATGAATGTTAATTAATCAGGTTATTCATTTCTTCTGTCTACCTGAGCTAAGTTTCAAGAGGTATATGTCTGATAACAATTGTAGGTATGATGATTCCTTCTTCTAATTCTCTTTTGTTTTAAAGTTGCAAGCATACCATAATATGGTGAAAGAAAAAGGAACATTTCGGCACCTCTTTGTTTATAGAATTGTTTATAGAATTCAAGACAAAGCATTTGCTAGATCAGATTTTTATGAAAAGGAGTCTTTAGTATCTTTTAGTTTCAACTTCTAGTGCGATGGTTTTACCTTTACCTCTAAAAGTAAAAATTGGTCTCATAATGAGTTTTGGTCCATTTACATTTCTTGTGATTACAGATACACATGTTCTTCTTTTTCTTCTATAGGTTTAACAACTCTATAGTCTATTTCCAGTATTGTTATGCCTCTCTTTCTCTGTGGGAAATTCAACAATAAGAGCTCAAGTTAACCTAGGTTTTCTTTTCTTCCAGAATAAACTAGAAGCTTACCACCTTTTATCCTCACTGCCCCCCAACAATCTGAAATTCTCATTCTTGCTCTAGAACATTTCTATTGGTCAATAGCAGCATGTCTTATTTCTTCTCCACAACTGGATCTAAATAATTCCTTCTGGGATTGTTTCATTTCTATAGAGTAAATCCTTCGTGGCATTTCAGTAAGTCTGGGGTTAGTAAACTTAACTTACGGTTTGAGAATACCTCTGTCCTCACACTTGAATGCTCTGTTTCTCAGTTTTGGTTTTTCTTAGAGTGTGTGTGTTTCATAATTGCATACATCTCTTCTATGGGGAAAATACTACTGAATGTGACCAGAGTAATAACACTGGTGTGAAGGCAAAGTGTTTGCTTACCTCTCTGGCTTTCTGCTCCTTAATTTATTTCAAGTGATAGACTCCAGAAGGAAGTGTAGCATGGGAAGCAATGGTTTTACTCTTTTGAACTGGATTTAACCTCAGATCCTGCTGATTGTAGCAACAACTCTTCAACACCCTGGTCACCAGGCTATTCTAAGATGACCAGGCTCTCAGAGATCAAATAGATAACCACAGAGAACCATCCTAAAGGATAAGTAAGTAAGTCCTCTGGTACCCACACACTCAAAATCTCACCAGTGCACAGCAGGAGGACAGAAAAGGAAAAACAAAAACAAGAGATGATTCCCATGACCAGAAGGCAGAGAGATTTGTGAACAGATTCTCAATCAAGGTCTGCAAAGGAGAAGACCTACTAGAAAGCTGGAGAAATGCTGACCCCTCTCGTAGTGCTGCTGCTGGAAAACAACAGCACTTGATAGACAAAAAAGAAAACGGGATCCTCGGCTTAGCCTCCAGGCTGGTAAGAAGGAGGTGTTGCTCTAAATCAATGAGGTAATAGAATTACCATTCTTCCTAAGGAGGCAGTAACTATAACTGATGGGAGGTTGTTTTTTAAATTCAAATGCCCCTGAAAACACATGTATTATATTAGGAGATTTCCCTATGAAAAAAATAAGGTGCAAGAAGGTCAATGGTGTTTTTTAGGAGTCAGCCAGAATAATCTCTGTATGTGGGGAGATGTGATAAAGTAAGCTTTAGAACTAGGTGAGATTCATGATAGGACAAAGATAGGCACTTTGTAGGGAAGACAGAAGATGAGACATTTTATCTCAGACTCTGTAACTTATAAATGTCTCATTATTAAATAACAAAGCACTCAGAGGATATCCATAGCCAATGAAAATAAAATTTTAAAAATAGATTTATACTATTCTATACCTGTGCACCTTAGGTACAAAACTCAAATCCCAAATACTCGCCAGCATGGAGACATCACGTAGGTGAGCACAAGGCCTTGCGCTGGAAATACCTACGGAAGGAGGGAGCCAGCCATTGGCCTTCACCCCAGAAAGATGCCTTTGTCTTTTTAGAACCTGGGTCCACCCAGGTCAGAATTACAACTTCGGGGTTCTTTCCGAGTTGAACAGCAGGCATTATCAGAAGCGGGACATCTGAGGCAAGCCAGTGAATACCTTTCAAAAGAATGAAGGAGTAGCTAGGTATTCTGAGGTGACCCAAGAAGCAGTGGAGGAGAACCTGCCAGAGTTCATAGACCGCCTACTTCTGACAAGCTGCAGCAAACTTGGCCCGTTTCCTTCCAGTAAATAGGTACACGTCTGAAACAGCAAGCTGCTTAGGCAAGGCACCTGCTTCTTACGGCCTAACAAGAATAATTCTGAATTCCTGTACTGCAGCTGTCAGTTCTCTTTTTAAAAAGCAAGTAAAGCAACACAGACTCCTTTTTCGGCCAACAAATGAGCCTTACCACTCTCTGCCAGGAGGCCCCTTGAGTGCTGGAGAAGGAGGACATGCGGCTGCAAGGGACACCTCGACAAGCCGGCCTTTGTTACCTTTACCTCAGCCCCAGCTTGGCAGGTCCAGGAAAAAAAAACACGGTTAACATTCAGACAGAGAAATGTACACTGTCTGAAGAGCCTTATGCTTTCCTCTACGGATTATTATGCGGGCGAAACCAAGAAATGCATTTAAGCACACTAAAGTCTTTGAACCAGAAAAGGGCCCAGCTCATCTTCCTCCTTCCACAGACAACTTAATCTGGGGAGTAATTCCGGAATTTCCAGACCACATCAGGGAGGAGTTGGAGGTAGAGATGGTGCTGGGGCCCCGCCCACTAGTCCCCGCCTAAGGGAGGAGGCAGCGTTTCTCAACCAGCTCCCTCGCCTCAACTTACCTCTGGCCAGCTGTCTGGGGATGAAGGGGCGCGTTTCTTTCAGGAAACGCAGGTACCTAATTGAATAACCATTGCTGTGGCTCAATATTACAAGAGACATGGATGGTTTAATTAGTTGTTTAAACGAGTGACACGAAATTGTACTTACCCAGCAGGCTTTTCCCCTTGCTCAGCTTCTGAATCCTGTTCATTTCATTCTGGCAAGGGAGACCTAAAAAATAATTTATGAAAGTCAGTTTCCAGATGGTGTGGGACATAATCTCTAATGATTGGCTCCACTCTTGATGTGAAATGTACACAATGACACACCTGGGACTGGAATTACTCCATATGCTGTTATTATACAGCAAAACAAATTCAGGCCATTAGTGTTACTAATTAAAAAAGAAAAAATCTTATACTGCGAGGTACTTAAATAGTATTTGGGGGCTACCTGCATTGTATACTAATTTTTCTGCCCACCTTCAACTGAAGCAAATGCCAGGTGCCAACTAGGTGATCTGGCAATAGACATTTTAGTCAGCTGAGAACCAGGATCCAAGCTTCCTAGTGGTTAAATGTTCTGAATGCAACACAGGAGCCGTGAACCAGAGGGAAGGTGACAAATACCCAGGCCTTGCTGTAGGACAGAAAGAGGATTAGAATGGCTACTTTAGGTTTTCTGGCTCAGTACCCCAGGATAGGACAACACAGGCCTCAAGGGCCAACTCTGAAGCTATCCGAGGTGCGCAGAGAGGCAGAGAAAAGGGAGACCTTAATTCTCAGCTCTGCCACCTCACAGCGGAATGCTTTGGGCAAATCTCTCTCAGCCTCCAAGTCCTCAATTATGAAACACCTGTTGTGGTGCAGGACTGATACAGTGGGAGCCACATGGCTAAGTAGGGCCTATGGGAGTGTGCGGTTCTCCAGTCTGGAGACCTGACTCTGTTCTGAGCTTAAAGGAATATGGCTGCACCCATACTGAGTGTTACCATGACTTGGCCATGCACACCCTGTGGCTTGGCAAGGTTCTGCTCTGTGCTCAAGGGCCCTACACTACTTCTGTCCAAGTAAGTTTGGGACCTGTAGTAAGTACCCGAGTACCTCTTTACATCTATTAGCCTGTGCATTGCACACCACACCATCTTGCTGCTTGTTCCTTGAGAAAAGCTAATAAAATCTGGTTACTTCTGGGGTTAAGGTGCTTTCTGAGTATTGGAGAAAGATGCCAACTGAAAACAAGGAAAAGGGAAATAAATTCCATCTTTGAAGATGAAAGGTAGCATTTACTAGGACATGGGTACCAGAAAATGTTCTAGAATTTTGTCTTAATCTTTTCAACAATCCCACAAAGTAGGTACCATTATTATTCCTATTTTGCAAGTGGAAAGGGTGATCTCTGTGTGAAACCACAGGACATTTGGAAGACTATTTCAAGACAGTACAAGTCACCTTCATTCACATAACACTGTGTCAGTTTCTCAAACTGTCCCGCGGTAATTGTAAAAATTCTGCTTCTTTTTTAGCAAGGAAACATGAATCAGGCTGAGACATACAAGAAACTGCTGCGAGAAAAACAGTGAAGAGTTAGACCAAACTCCAGATAAAGAATTCTAACAGAAAAAACGTTGGCTGCTAAGCAGATGACAAGTTACCAAAGACTCCTCCCAGTAGGCAAGGATGCTTGTAAAAAAGACACTGTGAGACCAGAGCTCAATGCAGATACAAAGACTCAAGGACAGAATTAAACACTGAAAGGAATGAAGGTTGTATCTGAAGCAGCAGAACTCAGGCTCAACATCCAGGTTACTGATTCTCCTTCAAGAAGACTAAGCAAATGGAACCAAAGTTTTAATCCCACAGCATAAAAATGCATGACATGTCCCCAGGAAAAGGGCTACAAATAGACTGAGCCAAACTAAGACATGTCCTAGGAAATGGTTTCCATTATTGTACAGCTAAACCCAGTACTGGGAGAACCATGTTTAAAGATAGCAGTATAACAAACTCTGGCTCCAGCAAGTTCTACTTAGCACCTTTCTTTCTGTACTAAAAAAAAAAAAAAAAAAAAAAAAAAAAACATTGTTTTTTTACGGGATATAATTCCAGTGAGAATTTTTGAAAAAAAAGTTCTAAAACCCAAACAGAACACTAAAAAACATCAAAGCCAGACAACAAATAATACTACCTCATGGAGAATTATAAAGTATGCTCCCAAACTTTCTGGGGCCTGAGAGGGACTCAGCCTTAACTGTAGATTATCTACACATTTATCCTAAAAAAAATACCATGTATGGAATACCTACAGTCTACAGCTAAGAGTGCCTTGGAGAGAATTTCAGCCTTGAATACATATATTAATCAATAGGAAATAATGAAGAAATGTGAGTTCTGGGTCAAGGAGGGAGGCAGTGGGAACCCAACCAAAAAAAGAGAGGGAAATGCTACAATGAGAAACAAAAAAGGAACTACAATGAACAGACTTCAATTGTCCTTGATTCAGCTTCTCCTGTGTGCCATGTGAGGAGGGTTCTGGCCTCCTTTAGCCATTGCTCAAAGGCCGGCCCAGCCAGGGACATCCACATGGCATGCTAACCACATCTGTCCCATGTTAAGGACAGCAGCCTTCCTCTCAGGGTCCTGGCACTCATAGCTCTGAGGGAGATGCTAGCATAAGGCTTAGCTTACTTATTCAGGTTAAACCTGAACTCTGGCTACAGACACATGAGGTTGTATGAACTCAAGCCCAAAGCCATCTTTGTACCCAGTACTGGATGACCCAGGTATTTGTTAGGATAACAACAAGGCTGTTAGTCAACACTGATTTGATAGTAGCAGCTGCCAGGAAGAGAAAAGAGAAAGGAGATAGAAAAAGAAAAAAATGATCACTTTGCAGAGGATACGATGGCACACCTGAAAAAAATCAAAGGAAACCAACCAGAATAATTATTACCAACAAAAGGAAAATTTAGTAAGGTGGCTGTGAAGAAAATTAATCCTGAAACAACCCCCAGCAAGGGACTACAATAGAACAAAAAAAAAAATCAATTTCGTTTACAAGGAAGATAAATACAAGGGAAGTATAGTATCTGGGAGAACAAAACTTAAAAATGTACCTCCGTTGGTTGACAGATGCTGTCTTAGAGTCAAAGGATTCAATATTACCTAGCTATCAATTCTCCCTTGATTACTAAGACCCATAACAATAAGCATAAGAATATCCAGGAAACCCTGAAGGATGAGTGGCAGGAGAGGGTGGCCCCACTAGATGTAGGAAGAGACAAATATACATGAAGTTTTATATACAACAGACGAAGCATTCAAATTAGAGGAGGAAGATGGCTTAGTCACTAAATGACAGAAAGGTAACTCACCAACCCTCTCCAGGGGTCAGCTCCTACCTGACCACACACGGAAGAAATCTAAAGCAATACAGGATTTCAACAGACCGGTCAACCAACCAAAAGGTACTGATGAAAACACAAACACAAGAGAATTGCTTTAGTATTTCATGGCACAAAATACCTTTCTAAGCCTATGGTAAGCCTCATGGCTTCTAGAAAACCATAAAGGATGGAAAAACTTTACATTATTAAATTGAAAAATTTCTTCCTAGCAAAAATGCACCAAGTCAAAGTTGGGGGATAAAAGTATTTGCAAGACATGTGACCAGAACAGTACTAATGTCCTCCATTCAGGGAGAATCTCTAAAAACACACCAAAAAGGACACACAGAGACCTAGGTATTTCTTTGTAAGAGTAAAACTTAGTACAACCATTTGGGGAGGGAAATGGGAAGTAATACTTAAAAATGCACAGGGCTCCTGGGTGGCTCAGTGGGTTAAAGCCTCTGCCTTTGGCTCAGGTCATGATCCCAGGGTCCTGGGATCAAGCCCCGCATCGGGCTCTCTGCTCAGTGGGGAGCCTGCTTCCTCCTCTCTCTCTCTCTGCCTGCCTCTCTGCCTACTTGTGATCTGTCGAATAAAAAAAAAAATCTTAAAAAAAATGCACAAGCCCTACTACCAATAATTCTGCTTTGAGGAAAGTATCTTGTAGTCCTATCAGCAGATACATGTACTTGACACTGAGTGTCCTTTGCAATGATTCACACTTTCTGCTCTGTGTGTACAGTGACTCTGAATGCAGAGAGGCATAGACATGCATATAATTTTAAAATTATAATATTCATAGCCCTCTTCCGTTCCTGCGGGTGGGTTCCCACAGCCATGCTCGGAGTGGATTATCCATGATCCCTGACTCAAGCTGAGCCAGCTTGGGGACGTGGGACTGGGATTCAGATATAAGCCACTCTCTGCTAGTCCAGCTAGCTGTGGATCACCACACCTGGGTGCACAAGCCCAGGAAGCTAAGCCAGACCATGCGGCACCTCCCAGAGACTCTGAGCTCCTGCCTCTGCATTCCTGAGAGGCTGCAGGGGAACTCAGTCCTCTGACTTGCCATGATGTGAGATACTCCTGCGTTCTTTCACCATACTCCTCAAATGTGATCTCTTTTGTAAGTGAGCTGGAGTGTATAACCAAGAAATCCTTGCCTATGAGATTCAGGAGGAAGCTGTATTTACCCTAGAGAGGCTACAAGAGGCTTTTCTCTGACAAGAGGAGACTTCGTGTGACCAGGGGCATTACGGTACTCTGCTATTTGTACAGTATTCCTCAGAGAAAAGATAGCACAGTGACCTTGGGAATGATGTAGCAAAGGTTTCTACACCCCCTTTACAGATGTAAACGCTGAGGTATGAGATGATTAAGAGATTTCCTCCAAGGGGGAGTGAGGTAATGGGCCCTTTCGTTATGCTCTTGGGTTTTCTATTATACAATGATAAAAATAAAGTGAGAAGAAAAGAGCCTTTGGGTCTGGCATTCTGTCAGCTGACTGCTTACTCTCTAGTCATGTCCTTTGGCTTGATGACTTCCACCTGCCTCCCTAGTATGTGATACACAGGCCTTCGGCTCCCAGTGTGGCTGCCCTGAGCATCAGGAACCACCCCCCCACCCCCACCTCACCTCCAGGCTTCTGGAAGCAGTAGCACCACTCATTGTTGGAGAGCTTGCCATCCTTGAAGGAGTCACAGGAGTTGAAGAGAGGCTTGATGCAGGGCTCATACTTATCCAGGTAGATAGCATTGATCTCTGAGTGGTCAAGCAGGAGGTCATAATTCATGTCCAACTTGTTGAACATCCAGCCCAGGGAGTCCTTGCAGATGGGCAAGATGCTGGTGTCAAATCCTGCAGAGAGAAGGGTGTCTCTCAGCGGCCATTAAGCCTGATCTGGGATGACACGAGGAGGCCCAGGACCACCCCCCTACCTCCTCCCCTCCTGAGGCACTTACCCTCCAAGGGTGAGTCTCAGGGGCACCCTACTAGAAGATACTAATGTTGGAGTAGGGGTTTAAATAAAATATTTTAAAATGCTCTTAAACAGAAGTCAGCATTTGAAGAAATTATGTCCCAAAGGGAACAAGTCCCCCACACTAATTTATCTGGGATGTAAATATGAGTTTCCATTTACCAGACTTGCTTAAAACAGGGTATGCCCAAAAGGAAGAATATAAACCTGGTGAGTAAAAGGAAAAACTTGTAATTCTGCAAACTACACTTTTGTATTTAGGGGAAAATACCTGAATCACCAAAGCAAAAGAAACCATTGTTAAAAAAAAAAAAAAAAGATGGCAGTGAAATGAAACTATATAGCACAATCCAGAAGCACTGATTATGTCCCAAAGGACTGTTAAATCCAAGCTGTCTGAACATTAATGGGAAAACTAGCCAGGTATCTGCCTCTGTTCCCCATTCTTCTTTTCTACCGTCCCCTCAAGAGATACATGATATGGAATCCAAATTGACTCAGACAATAATTTCTTTCTTATTTCCCTGGGGGAGGAGGGGTAGTTTTCTTAAAGAATTATTTGTTTCCACAATGGGAACTGTACGCACTAGAATAATAACACTTTGCTTAACACTCAGGATATTGAGTCTACTGTAGACAACCCCCAGAGAAGGCCTGCCCCAAATCTAAAATCGGTCTTGCTTTCAGAATCAAAAGCACTATGCACTTTCAAGTTGTTCCATAAGTTGGATTGGTAGAAATGGTTTTATTTTCCCAGGAAAATTACTATAAAAGTTCATTTTTCTGTTATTTAAGGTAGTCCTCTAAGCCCCTTATTTTTAATTATCTCACTGAATCCTTCCAAGAAGCCTCTAAAACACTGTATTCCTTCTACTTTACAGATAGGGGGAAAAAGCTCAAGGCTTAAGTGACTTGCTCAAGATCCTCTGATTGTGGAGCTGGGCTTCCCAGGCAGGTGCCCCAGGCCTGAGTCTACATTCTCAGTCCCTTTTCTCCTGGGGCTGCCTGTGCCTCCCATGATCCTCCTACCCTAAGGACATCCAGCCGGCATGGGGGCCATGCCTGAGGATGGGCTGTGCAGGGAGGGGTGGATACAGCAGCCACAGCTGAGGCCCTGATGGGCTTGACTGCCCACTCCCTGCTCAGCAGGTTTCTGTGCACACTACCAACTGTTGGAAGCCTTGGTTTCCTACAAAAGGGTCTTCACTGTCCAGAAACCAGTGAAATAAGTATAGCACCTCCACCTCTGAGCTGTTCCAGAACCCTCTGCTTCCCCTTCCTGTCAGTTCATGTTCCTCAGATGCTAAGATCCTTGAGGGCAAACACCATGTTGAGTAGCCTCGGCCCATGCAGCCATGTAGTAAGGGCTTAGTAAAAGCAGGTGTTGAAAGAAGTTCTCTAACTATTGCAGAGTTTGGCCCTTCAAACATAAAAATCAGTTTTAAAATTTATTCCCACTGACACCTTATAACATGTCTTAGAAAACATTCCCTTCTCAAGGGAGACTAGGGGACATCATGTGGCCTCTTCTTTGAAGGTCATGACTGAACCATCTCTATGATGGGGATGTCCTTAGGGGCTGCTGAGTAAAGCAAGATCATTTACTCTGACACTAAAAGGCTCCACTATTTTAGATGGAATATTTACGTAATATGCATCAATTTTATAGGACATTAACATTTTAATACATGACCAAGAGAAGCTCACTGCTCACTGACCAGCCAAGAGACATGCCATGCTGGTCGGGCAGTAGTCTGAAGGTCAAGCCCCGCCTCCCCAACACCCATTTGGAAAGTTCTAAGCAAAAGGCACCTGCATCTGGTATCTAGAAGTGGAGGGCAGAACAGAACAGCCCTTCTAATTGCCCCCAAGCAGGTGGGATTTCTAATGCCCCATGCTTTCCTCTTCACAACTCCTGAACTGATAAAAACATCTCTCCCTCCTATGGCCTTATGGGCTAACCAAGCCTTGCTCCTTTTTATTCCTTTCACTGCAGTTGCTTCAGGACATCAAACCTAAAAGCGTCTTTGGGGACTCAATTTGCTTCTGGCCAAGGGCAGGTCTTTTGCTAGCTTCCCAACTGTCTGCAGAAGGAGTCTCATGGGGCTGGAGGGTGTAAGGAGCTACTCTCTGCACAGCCATCTGCTCTTCCTGGAAAGGTTGTTCAGAAAGCCCAAAGGCCTGGCTGCTCCAGGAAGATCCCCAGGAGAAGTTCCTCTAGACCATCTGTGAATTAATTGTCCACAAACTTCCAAGGAAGCCTCGGCAGGAATGGTAGGGGGAAGGCAAGAATGGAAGAAGAAACTATCTTCCTCCTTCTTTCCCATAGACTCAACCACCTGAAACCACTCTGTGGATACTTAGATCCTGAGAAGCGGACACTATCTTTCCCTTAAACTGTAACATCCAGACTAGCAAAAGAATTGTCCCCTAGATCAGTATTCTCTATCAGTATCTACAGCTACCAGCCACAAAGAACAACCTGTAATTAAGGTGATCATTCTGACTCTGGCCAAAGACCAGAGAGCGGTTGAGCTCTGGATCCCAACAGTTGCCAAAGTCCAGATATTTGAACAACTGTGTCGTTGGGAAGTCATTCTGAGTGACTGGGCCACAGCGTGGAGAAGGCTACTGCTCATCGTTTTTGAGTTCAAGACAACGAGAGAGTCCTTCAAGTTACAAAAACACTGGCCCACTCTGAGTTTTCTCTTTAGCTTATGAAGAGGCTCTGAATATGGGCTCTGCCAACGCACTGATGGAGGAGGAGAGACATTATCGAAGATGTTCGGTAGAGTTGCTTATAAGAGCTGAACATTAGGAGGGACTTCAGTGCTCCAAAATCGAGGTCTAATTACATACATTCTGTCTGTAACTTGAAATTCTCGGTGGCTATGACAAAGTGCAACACTACTCAACACAGGAGGCCAGAGCGTGCTGCTGAGTGACTGATGATCGTCAGACAGACGGTGCAGTGTGTACTGTATGCATGTACAAAGACACAGATTTTTTTTTCTCCTGTGTGGCAAGGAAAAAACTTCAAGTATATGCCACAACATGCTTATGGTGGTTAAAGTGGTGAATTTTTAAATAGCTTTTTGTATTTTCCGAAGTCTCTATCCTAAATACACGAGAGTTTTGTAGCCAGACTTTTAAAAATTAAGTTGTTTCATGGAGGAGGGGGAAATGCTTGGGAATCAAGAAAATATTTTAAGCGGTGTGCATCTGACATAGTGTTTCTTTGATTACACCAAAAGGCTACTGTTAAATCAACACTGTCTAGTAACTAAGGAAATGTGGTGCATAAAATGGAATAAATTAGTGAGAGCAGAGTGGTCTTACTGCCTTGGGCTGCATCAGAGCTGGTGGGCTTGATGACCCTGTTGGCATCCTCGTGAAGGGCTCCAAACCAGTCTTTCAGGCGGGATGCGAGGTTCCTCAACTCCTTATCTGTGCAGGCTGCAGAAAAGCAAAAGGAAGAAACAGTGAGTCCACCGACTTTCTCCTCTTGTTAGCTCTCAACATGCAATGCCACCCGCAGAACCGTGCTCAACACTAACCCCCCCTCTCCAAGCGCAGTGCAGCACTTTCCCCACGCTTGGAAAACCACCCAAAGATGCTGCAGTCACAGGGAAGGAGCGCGACAGAAAGCCGGGACTCCCTGGGGTAAGCAGCATTGCTCAGAACTGAATCTGGACTGCCTCCGAGCTGGTAAAACCAACGCTAAGTCTCCCAGTTGTGCAACTGGCCTCCAAAGACTAACAGATCTCTCTTGCTAACCCAACAGAATTCGCTAGTACAGTTTGCTGGAGATCGTATTTTCCACTAAACTCATGCCAAGAGATGAACACTCAGGAAGAGTTGATGTTTTCAGTGAGAGGCTGCCTGGCACACCAAGAGTTCCCAATAACAACAATCAATTTTGCTTTTTCCCAAGCTTGGGATTTGTGCACGTGGCTTATGCTGTTGGTCTTGTGGCAGGCTGACTTGACATCCCCCTAGAGACAGATGCATGCCACCTTCACGCAAGAGTCCTTTCTATTGGCACACAGCCCATCTCTGACTATGAGGCTCACCTTTTAGGGTAGATGATAGGAACTGGAGCCAAGGAATACTGCTTCTGAGAACAAGAAGAAACCCAAAATGGGATGTTTGGGTAGAGGGGTGCATACTCTGTGAAGGTCTCCGAGGGTGCGGAAGTAAGGCTTGAGGGGGAAAATCCCCAAAGGAGGAACAGTGGTGTTGGAAATGGGGCTGATACATCCTCATTCCACATATTACCCTAATTCTGGGTATAAAGAATCCTGATGAGGGTCCAGACAGTGACCCACCTCTAAGAGGCAGACAAACCAGCCTTTGGCATCTGGAGGGTAAGAAACTGGAAACCCAAGGGACCAAAATCCCAATAAGAAGGGACAAAGACACAAACCCAGAACAGTTGCTTTTCCCAAATTCTAAACCTACAGGAGACAGCACAGAAGCCAAGCAAAACACCATTAAAAAGCAGAGCCAAGTCCTGAATATCTTACAGAGCTGATGGGATGTAGATTAAGGCTGGACTCTACCAGTCTAGAGAGACTGCCAGCATCAGGCTCCCTACTGAAAGACATGGGGGCAATGATGAATGAGTAGACAGTCTTGCCAAAAGTCCAGTCCAACCCTCAGTCAGTGCCTACTCTCACTGAATTGAAGGCATTAGCCCCTGTCTGTCTCCCAAAGACGAGAATAGTATCATACAGATCTTCCCCTCATTTTTACATTTTACATTTTACATTTTTGCTTTTAAGAAAGCCCACCTTTAGTTAGCCTGGTGTTTGGAACTTGACCGACAACAGAGCCAAACTTCCCAGACCTTGGGTGTAAAGTTCTTTCTGACTCTCCATTGTGGGGGCGGGAGTTGGTAAGAAGACCCAGGCTGGGTCTGTGGAGTGTTAGTGCTCCCCTAACCACTCTCCCAACCACTCTCCTCATTCCAGTCGGGACCCAGATCTACACCCTGCCAGGCATGGAATGTACGCATTCTTTATATGCACGCTATTAAGGACCTCAAGATACTTAGCCTTGCTTCTGACAACCAGGCCATGATTCATCTTAAGACACCAGCCAGGAAATGGTACCCAGAACTGTCTTCACTGGCCACAGAGCATAAAAGCTCTGGGCTCACAGCGCCTGGAATGACTCCCAGCTTTACCACTGCCTGGCTGGGTGACCCCACAAGTCTCAACTTCTCAGCACCTCGGTGTCCTCCTCCATAAACCCAGGATACCACTATGTGGCCATGAGTTAGACCAAGTATGTGAAGGACTTACAAAGCACATGGCACATAACAATTGTTCGGCATGCACCAGCTACGATTTAATGGAAGGGTTGCAGGTACGTGCAGAGCACTCATCACAGCACTCAGAAAACCAGGAAGACAAATGCGCCTGCACAAAACTGGCTTTGTCTGCATAAGAGACTGGGGAGAATGGATACTTGTATGATCCAGTCCAGTTGCCATTAGCCAGATGTGCCTATTTATATGAACAATAATTTACGTAAGTAAGATAGTTAAAAGGCAGTGTTCTGATCTCACCCACCCCCATCATGTGCCAAACAGTCACCCGGGGGTGGGGACGCCATGGGGGACAGCACAGCTACAGAGGCTTTCCCAAGTGCTGGAAGATAGCGGATGACATCAGCTATCCCTTTGGGAACTCCAACTTTTTGGAGTTTCGTTATGATATCCTAATATCTGATACCTCTACTCCTTCCCTTTGGTGTTTTTCAATTGTGTTTGTATGTTTGAGAGAGAGAGTGGGCGGGCGCATATGCGCACGGGGGAGGGGGAGAGAGATCAAGATCTCATGACCCTGAGATCATGTGACCTGAGGCCAAACCAAGAGGCAGATGCTCAACTGCTCAGGGGAATGCCTCCCCCAGCTCCCCCCCCCCGCCGCCACCTTTGGTGTGTAAAGAGGGGCTGAAGAAGAAGATCCCATGCCTGTTCAAGCCGGGAACCAGAATCTTCTGCTAAGCCACTCACACAGCCAGGAAGGAGCCGGGACTCATGGGCTCACCCCAGGAGCAGATCCACAAGGACACACCGACTGACAGCCCCAACTTGGAAGCTCGGGATAGAGCCCTCACTTTCATGACTCTTCAGATGCCAAGCAGCCCAAATCAAGAGAGGATGTGGTCTGTTTTCCTGATGGGAGTGGGATGTGGCCTCTAGAGTCAATCTCACATTTGAAAATGGAAAATTAATAGCATCTATTTCTTCTCAATTGCCATGCACACCATCTATTCTAAATGTTCTCTGAGCAGAGAAAATTGCCAAGTCAACTTGCAAAGGAAATGAATCCCTGTCTCACACTGCAGGATAAATTAGTCAGTCATGTTTAACTAAACCCTGACAGATGTGCAGGTAATCTATATCTTTAGAAGACTGCTGAATTTCCCACAGGCTTTCCAAAGTACACAGGCTCTGGATGGCTGATGGAATCAGGCACTGGAATCTCAAAAGAGCCAATGTGTCACTCAGGGAGAAGTGCACCAGTGAGACACCCCTGGCTTGGGTGGAGAGAGATCAGAAAGCCTGGACAGAGATAGGAGGCACTCAATTAGTGGGCCCTATTCACTTGCTGTGTCCTCCACTGAATGGTCTTCATGGGGACAAAGTCTGGCCCAGCTGGCCTGGAGCTAGACACATCCCAGAGGAAAAAATAAAGATGACAGCCAGCAGAGCACTGTTTGTTCAGATTGGGGATTCTAGCCACAAAAGAAACGCTGGCAGTGAGTGAGGGGGTTGGGGAGTGGGGGAGGATGCCTGCCTTTTAAGAGGACTATCAGAGCCCCTGATAAAGGGATGAACAGAGGATTGATGTTTTCAGAAATGGGGGACTCAAAGAGTACCTCCCACCCACTCAGTTCCTTCCTGGGGAAAAATAACTTTTGGGGAAAAGGAAAACCTTTATAAAACCAAATCCACCTGCCATTTTCACTTGGTGTCCTGAGGTGGAGCGATCCTTGTGATTTCTCAAGATGAGAATCTGAGCTCTCCTCTCCTCCTGGTGACAGAAGCTGGTACTCAGACCACCAGCCTCAGCATCCTCAGAAAAAGAGAGTGTTGTCCTGGGAGAGGACTCAGTTCACAAAGGCTAGGACCTGATCCCCTGGGCCGCCGGGTTACCTTCCAGAGTGAATGAGGCCAGCCTGTCCTCTTGTTCCCTACCTCTCCTCCTCTCCTCTCCTGCCCTCCACCCAAGTGTCGCTGTCAGCCTCCTGTTCCTCATGGACTGTGTTGCCTGCTTGTTCCCACAGGTTACTCCCCACCTTTTTCACAGGATCTCAGTCTGTTCCGGCATGGCTGGAGTGTGGGCCGCAAATGGCACTACTGGGCCCTCCTGTCTGTAGGGCACACACCTGGGAAGTGTCCCAGATCCCTACAGAAGGTTCCCCACTTTCTTGCTGGCTCCACTGTCTCCACTCCCATCATCCCCACCAGAACCTCCCACCAAGAAGGCTGGATCGGGATCCTAATTGATCTATCTTTTCCCCACTTTCGCCTTCTCAGAGGCTCCTCAACCCTCTGCCAGCAAATCCATACCCTTCCTATGGCCTGTGTATTGATCACGGTGCCCTGGGCCACCTCTGGTCTCCCTCCTCTCTTTCCTGGGCTCTGGACCCCATCCTCACCGTCCTTTCCAGATGCTGCTCCATCCTGATCACCCTACTCTCCTTGTCTTGCTAATGCCAATTTCCCCATCAGATCTCACGGGAAGATTTTCCCCTCTTAGGGACTTTCAGCATCTCGGTCCTTGGGTGGCATTCATCACACCCGTACTTTCTCCTTCATGGCCCCTCTTCCCTTCTAGATAGTAGCAGCATAAAACAGCCCCGAGTCAGGCTCAGCTCCTAAGGCCCGTCATCCTGGGCAGCCGGTACCCAGCATGAGGAATGTTCTTGACACATACTTACTAACTCTACATAACATGACCCTCTTGTTGCCTTTTGCAAACTTCAATTTATCTGTCTGCAAAATGGCATAATAAAGCTCAGCTCATAGCACTGTCGCATGGAATATGGTTATATCTGCAAAAGAAAGCTCACAGCTCCTGGCGTATAGCAGGGACTTAACAAATTTACATTCCTCTTCCCATATCTGAACTGTCTGCACAACGCTTTACCATTTTATCCTCGTGCACTTCTTTTCAAGCCTCAGGAGATGCTTGTGATACAGAAAATAGTATCTCTCCTTTACTTATTTTGTAGGTGGGTCAGTACAAGTCCACAGGATTTGGCTTGCAACAGATGTCTGCCTTCTCCTGAAGAGAAAAGGTGCATGATGATTTCCTTTGCCTGTATTCTCAGCACTTACCAAGGGTGGATATATAGGTTTTCAAAATGTAGGTATTAAAAGGAAACAGGAATGCACGAACAGCCTGGTTGCAAGCTCCCTAAGTCGCACAGTCATCTAG